CCACAACAGCAGCTGTGAATACCTGGTAGCATTATGATCTGACTAATGGACTGACGTCTCAGTCTCTCACAACAAGCCTTGCGCTTCACCTCAAGTGCTGTTCAATGACAATCAAAAGCTAAGCCTCCAAACAGTCTTAATTTTCTAAAAGTGGTAGTTTCACATTCTCCCCCAAAAATACTTATAGTAGTAATCAATATCACTACCCGAAAATTGCTATGTTAAGACAGTTGCCATAATCTGCCATCCACAGGCACATCCATCTTGATTTTGCATGACGCAGAAACACTACAGCATGCCATTAAACAACAGCATTTAAGGACAACCCATTGACTGAGGTTAGTTAATATGGGCTAGATAACCAGAGTGCCTCCTTAGTGTAGGTGGAGTACAGTGGGGTGAGGCAACTGGTAGATTCCTGGGAGTCGGGGGAACTTACCTTCTACCATAAGCATGGGTTCCTTGGCTCCTCCATGAGCCAACATCTCCCGCCGGTAACGCTCACCCATGTCCCTGAAAGAGGGAGAGAGAGGGATAGAGAGAGAGAGAGAAAAGATGGTAGACCTGATTAAGTTACATCTACCGGTAAATCTTCCCCCATCGGTACATTACTCACCCACCCCCACCCCCGCACCACCACCGCCAGAACCTCTCAAACCGTCGCCACCATACACTGGTGACAGAACACAGATCCCAAAACTCAACTGCGAGTGGAACTAAAATAACAATCGGTGGGGAGAGCCAGCCCCTCTGTATAGGGGCCTTGTGAATAAACAAACCCTTTGTGCAATGCAATGATAAGGGAGAGCCAGGGTCTGTGGATGCTGGTGTCTGTCTGCAGATTACAGCGGACACCTGCCAAGCCGGTGTCGGTTTCCTATAAATGTCATGTTCAATGTCAGCCGGCCAAGACTCTTCACAGTTGTACTGGGGTGGAAGGCTGCCTGTCAGGAAGCATTTGTCTGAGCCCATTAAACATAGTTTACACTTGCAGCCTAGATGCTGCATCTCTTCCAAATCATACCTTGCATTGTATTCATCCTGTATATGAGGAATATACATATTGGGTCAAAATGATTAACATAAAATTAACATAAAATGTAACTAACTTTTACATGCAAGGAAAAGCCATCTTGACTGCTAGTGTCATTTATATAATCTGAAATGCTTGAAAGAAAACTAGGTGTTTGATTAAGACTCCTATGTGTAATATGTGTCATACTGTCCTGTAAGACAGCCTGAACATGAACATTTTCAAATAGTGCAGTTTTAATGTAAGCCAGGATCTGCTGATCTTCATTCTGTCCCATTTTTTCCCATTTTACATTTTATATGTATTACTCTATTGTTTGTGTTCTTATGTTGTCATGTTTTAGCAATCTCTGGCACAAGAACTTCCTTCGGGATTAATAAAGTCTAATCTCTATCTAATCTTCTCTTATTTCTATCTTATTATATCCATCTTATTTCTTTCTGGAGAAAGTTAAACTCCTGGTGAAAGCATCTTACCTGTTTAAGGGATCCTGAAGGAAACACTGTTTCCACACCATGGAGGCCACGGCCCGGGACATGAGGTAGGAATAATACTTGGCCCCATAGCCAATCAGATGGCTGAACCGCAGCTGCCATGCCTACAGGATTAAATAAACAAGCCAAAACACTGACATTTAGAAACACACTAAAAAGCACCAAACTATCCAGCAACTAACCATTAGTTATTTCTTGTTTGTAATCGGGGGGGGGGTTGGGTTAGTACACTCCATTAAGCAAAATTATGGCTTGCATGAACTATAAACAACAAAAGGGGATCGTGCAATTATCCTTTGATACAGCGTATTAATTTCGTCAAAATAAAACATGTAATGGTTTGTTAAAACGGTGTGTTTGTGGTAAGCGTGTTAAAGGGGAGCCAACATAGCCTTGAAAGGCTTAAGTGTTCCACTCGTAAAACGTGCTGAGAGGACAGAGGAGGCCAACTGTATGGTTGTCATAGCGAATGAGCAATAGTTAACCTTCAGCAAAAGCAAAGTTATAAGTAAGACTCATTATATTCAAGAGACCAATACAACCTAATTAAAAATACCCTGAAATATTAATATACTATTAATATATTACAATACAAGCTAAATAACCTTAAAAGTAATTTTTGGTGTTTTGAGTGTTAAGTTAATTTGAAGCATTGTGTTTTAGTGAAATGCATAGGGAAAGTACGCTGGAATATACAGTATGTATCACTAAATACTGCTTTACCGCTTTTATTTAATTTCCATTGTCATCGTAAACACAGCTTTCCTTCCCTGAATCTCCATTACAAAAATGCTTTGAAAATGTGCCATTTGCTTCTTCTAAAAAGGACAAAGATATGGAAATCCCTAAATGGTTGAAAGCCCCCTTCGCCCTTTTGCTGCCTGAGGGGTTCCTCTCCATAACTATGAGGACGAGCTCTTTAATGGTGTTGTAAATGGGGAGGCAAGGGAAATTCAGCTGGCAAACACTCAAACAGGCAGGCAGTTAAAGACACTGCAGCTGCAACTTCACTCGTTCTACAATCTTCTATTCTTTAGATTAAATTACACACACACACACACACACACACACACACACACACACACACACACACACACACACACACACACACACACACACACACACACACACACACACACACACACACACACACACACACACACCGGGTTTGATAAAGCTTAAATGAATATATTTTAACATTCAAAGTAATACCAAAAATATCTCCGGGAGGTGCATCACCCTGGGTGGGATTATTGTACGTGTTCCCAATAATTCCCATGGAAAGTTTCCACCATTGAATATGTCCAGATTTTGGAAACCTTAATTAGGTGCCAACTTAAGAAAGTAAACTAAGTGTGTAGGTACACAAACAACTTGGGGTCTATTCATGTATGTTCCAGATGGGTGCTGAGAACATTGTTGCATTTGAAGCAGACCCCGTCTCTACACTGCCTTCTCCCTAGACGGCACATATATTAAACCCCAGAGGAAGCCCTAAGTTCAACAAAGGCCTATGACTCTCTGAAACATTTGTCTCAAGATATGACCTACCCACAGGGCTGGGAACCAACTCGACCTCGTCTTCACAAGGTCCTGCTGTACCTCGGCCCTCTCTGTTACCCCGCTCCCCGTGTCTGACCATCACTTCGTTGCTTTCTCTCTCCCCTTGAAGTCCTCCACCTCCCTTCCCCCTACTCCTCATATTGTCACCTCCCGTCGTAACCTGAAATCTCTCTCTCCCTCTACTCTCGCCTCATCTGTTCTCTCTTCTCTACCATCTCCTGAAAAAATTCTCTCTTCTGTCCACCGAGGAAGCCTCCTCGACCCTGCTATCCTCCCTCTCATCCTCCTTGGTCTCCCTCTGTCCCTTTTCCTCCAGACCAGCATGATCTTCTCCCCCTCCCCCTTGGCGGTTCGAATCTCTGCGGGCTTGTAGGACAGAGCTACGTGCAGCTGCGAGAAAGTGGGAGAGATCAGACTGTTTGGAGGACCTCTCTCACTACCTTCAACTCCTCTCAGACTTCGCCTCTACTGTGTCAGCAGCCAAATCTACCTTCTACCGCACAAAGATCAACTCCTCTGTCTCCAACCCTAGGAAACTGTTTTCCATGTTCTCTTCTCACCCCTGTTCCGTTGACACCTCAAGGCTCAGTATTAGGACCGCTTCTGTTCTCCCTATACACTAGATCTTTAGGCTCTGTAATCACTTTGCATGGTTTCCCCCATCACTGCTACACAGACGCGACAGCACGACTCGTGTACAACCTGCCGAAGTTCTCCCACGTGACCCCTCTCTTCCGCAACCTCCACTGGCTCCCTGTAGCAGCTCGTATCAAATTCAAGGCGATGGTACTGACCTACAAGGCCGTCGACGGAACCGCCCCGACCTACCTCCAAGCACTAGTCAGACCCCACGCCCCGGCTAGAGCCCTCTACACAACTACCTCGGCCGGCCGGCTGGTACCGCCATCCCTGAGAGCAAGCAAAGGTCTTCTCTGTCTTGGCGCCGCTATGGTGGAAGGACCTCCCTGCTGACGTGAGGACCGCAGAGTCAACCACCTGCTTCCGCAACAGACTCAAGACCCACCTGTTCAGAGTTCACCTGGACCCCGCTTAGCATCCTTCCTCTACTACCCCCCCCCCCCCCACACACACACACAAATAAAAAAAAATAAAAAAGCAATTATTCTATGTTTGTATGCCCTGGCTCTTACTTATATTCTGTGCTTACTATGTTCGCACTTATCTCTGTTGTATACTAGCAATCAGTTAACTTAGCAACTAGGTGTGCTTGAAACTCGTTCTTGTGAAATACTTACTCTACTGATAGCGATTTACTGTTGCACTTTCTTCTAAGAAATGTACTTATTGTAAGTCGCTTTGGACAAAAGCGTAAATGTAAATGTAAATATGACGCCCCAAAGCACATTGGTGGCGGGCTTCAAGCGGGCTTAACCCTATGTGTGGTTGGAGGGGGGAGATCACTATGGGTCGGTCCTGCGCTGTGTAATAGGCTTAACATTCAAGTTGTCTGCTTGACGAGACCCATCTGTGTTCTAATGACTTTAATAAGGGGGAACGAGACCTTCTGACGAGTGGAGCTGGGAAGTGCACAGCCACAGACAGTCGAGGGTGACAGAGTTCACTTGGTGAGACAAACCTGCCACCAAAATGCCTCCTCTCCTTTCCTCAAGACGCGCACGCACGCACATGCACACGCACACATATATACACACACACACACACACACACACACACACACTTTAAGCCACATTTGTTTTGTTACAAGTTTGGCTAAGTAATAAATAACCGCCTAGTCTTGGCAGATGTACAGAGGGAGTTGTTGTATTGTTAGTAACTTGTAATATGTAATATGGAACTTACAGATTAACAGCTTTATCCAAAGCGACATACATCATTTTTATAGATACATGTTAGGAGTTAAACTATGTCAAGGATGTCTACAAGTAGACTGCAGATAATGGGGTTCAAACCCAGGACCTTTTGGCTGAGAGTCAAACGCCTTAACCACTAGACTGTCCTGCCCCTTATATATACGCGACAGATAAGCAAAGGTGGCCATTGACAAATGGCTTGGTACGCCATTAGTCTACACAGGCCTTAAAAAAAAAGCATTCAAAATGCATAAAATGATTATAAAACCAAACAGGATCTTTTAGTTTTTAATCTGTGCCCCTCACATGAAATGATTAATGTCAACTATTTTAAAGAGATTCTTGAGTGGGTCACATGCCAGCTAAGTATGCTTTTGATCCTTGCATACAAAAGGCAGACAAAGTCAGTGCAGGGCTTTCACTCTGCTCCACTTGATCACCAGATAAAAGACATTTTTGTTCTCTCCAAAACTCGGCTGGTGGGCCTTTGTTCGCGGCACTAAGGCACCGACACCGAGTTTTCACTGTGGAGCGGGGGACCTATATGTTGTGGGCAAGGCCCACAGAGCATTTTGTTTCCAGGAAAGAAGGGAAAAAAAATAGCGGATGCCAAAATATTTCATATACAATTTAAAAAAATACACAGAATGGCAGCTTTCATTCTGCTGCCATTTTCTTTTCCAAACATCTTCTGCCCAAGGATGTCGTCCATGTGGTGCATGTTAATAGCACCTGATTGTCAGCCTGTATGCACACAGAGGGAGCAGACAGCCACGGTCTGTAAACTATCCACATCTCCGCCACCACGTTGTTTACACGCCCCGGCTCTCTCTAACCTATTAGCCAATCACACATAAGCCTTTGTAAAGATTGCTGCACACCATTAAGGTGAGGATGAGTCGAGGGACAGAGAGGAACCAGAAAGATCACGATATTGTCTAAACACATCTCTTTTGACTTGCTCTGATCCCACCATGGCGTACACTTTTAAAAAGGGCTGTCCGGCATAGTTTAGAAATGTTTACGGAAGACTTCCAGTTAGGAAAGCGATCCAAGCGTGGGTTGGCGCTCGGCCCGCTACAATGCGGGGCTGCACGTCTGTGAAAACATTCACGTTTGACTGCGACGGCAGGGTAAAATGTATACCATAAACCCTGTTCCCAAGAGTGTAGCTACAGCTGAAAGACAAGGCACAACAGGAAGGAGTGGGACGGCATCTGTAAAAGGGGAGGGGATAAAAAGGCCAGCATATTAAAGATGAGAAGAATATCCCTGACGGTACCAGCATAATTAGAGCGCATGATGAATGCTTTTATGACTGCACTCGAAATTTGGTGTTGCTTCCTGGCTTTATAGTTTAGGTTTTATTCTTTAAGGGACGAAGGGGAAAGAGTTTTCGATACATTACCCCCAGGGACTGCTCATTAAATGTATACCTTTTTTATTTCAGCAGGGCCATCCAAAAAAAGTATAAAAGCTTTAATCCCTTAAATGGTGCTTTGCCGTAAATGATATCAAACCAGATAGAGAGAGAGACAGCGTAGGGAGCGCTAGCCTACAACTAATTCAGATTAGGTTTATGTTTTACCTCTAAACAAATATATAGTATAGTGTGGAGTGGATGTGGAGTGTGCGTGGTGGATAGCTGGTTTACAGCCTCACCTTGCCTGAGTCAGACTGATTAGACTCTGGGGCTGGGTGGGGCTTTACACCTGTGGTGCAGAGCAATCATTGCACCCAGGATAAACCAGCTATCACCACACACACTCAGGAGAGCAGATGGTATATGCTGCCACTGTCATGGCAGCATACCGTCTGCTCGACGTATACCATCATGTCATCTCCACATATAGTTTTATAGGGGTGTACATTTTTTTAATAGTTTTATAGTGGTCTACTACATGCAATACAACCCAGCACTGGAGTATTAATTCCTTATCCAATTGAAAGTTCAAGGGAACTGCCTGGTGTACATTTAAAAGCACATACCGTGCTGGGTGTGTAAGGCAACCCATAGAACTGGTGCTGCATGTCCTTCAAGAGCTCTGTGGTCGAGCGGTTTTGGGGCTTGCCGTGGTAGACCTGGTCCAAGGCTGCGTAGAACACCTTCACGTAACCAAAAACATACATTTATTTATCATTAAGTGTCCCATTTCACAGCTACAAAACCACTTCATCCCCACTGCACACAGGTTTTCAGTTAGACAGCAACAGCAGGCCATTAAAAAGTGGCCACTAACACACTTGGTCATAAAATGTTTTACTAGTTTAGCAAAATGTACTTACACTAACTGGTATGGCTGCCGGCAACATCCATTTTTTTAATTAATGGCAACAGTAAATACATCATATAAAAAATATGTATTTACACATACAACTTAAAACAGTTATTGCACTCTCTCTTACACTTCATTTGGGCAAATGTGTAATAAAGGAGTGACTGTACCTGTAGCTGTGTGTCGGCAGCGCCACACACCTTTTTGGACTCACACAGACGAGCCACCATACTTTGAGGCAGAGACTAAGAATGAAAGGAGACCACAGTGAGCGGAACAGTGAGCTGAAGTATACACATGAGACACCAAATCTTTCCATACCAAAATGATGACTTTAATCTTGTGTGACGTTTAACAAATAAAAACAGGTGGTGTCTTGGACAAAGTAAATAGCATTACTGCAACATGAGAGCAGATCCACAGTACCTGTCCAGTTTGATAGTGGCGAGCAAACTGGCTGACCACTCTATAGTCGTTAGCAAAGTACTCCATGAGGATGGAGGGGACTTCAGCAAAGTCTGTGGCACATCTGGTTCCTGGAGGAGAAAAGCAGATTCCTGTGCTATTAGAGAGGAGAGACATATGAATACTCGCACGAGAACTCGCTGTAGACATAGAGCTCAGTGCAAATGAGTCATCGATCAGAGCAGTACTGAATAACGCTGGGCAAGTCAAAAAAGTGTCAACTGAAAAAAAAAAAAAAAAGTCTCAGGTTTTCATATCATATCACCATCTTGCAATCTGGATGATGCCATTTGCCAGAAATGAAGCTCTTAAGCAGCCTGGATATAATGGCATGGGTGTGTCCATGAACTTTGAGAAGCAAAAAAAGTCTTAAATGACAGCTGAAATAACCAGGAGGGATAAACGGACATTGTTGAGACCCAAGCTTTAAATTGCATTTACTTTAAATTGTCAGGCTGCTACAATATAAAAACAAGCATAAATTTAACCCTGCAGCAAACAATATACAACAGCTCCATTCCAAAATGTAACCGAAGAACCCAAAAACGTCCCAAGCCCCGATCAACTTGCAGACAGCAAGACTGCAATTTCTCCCCTGGAGCAACCGCCAGGTAAACGCGTGTGTGCATGTGTGTGTATGCGTGCGCGCGTGTGTTACAACAAAACCAAAAAGGGGTTTGTGCACAAACCACCAGGCTAGAGTTTGCTGAATCCTTAAGGATGACAAGGAACTTGCAAGCGCAGACGCCCAGACTCACCGGTGACATGCTGATAGCGCGTTCGTCCCAGCATGGAGTGCATGGCGTGCCCCATCTCGTGGAAGAGGTTCTCCATCATGCCCGGCGTGAGCAGTGTGGGAGCGCTCTGAGTGGGATGCGGCAGGCTCAGCATCAACACCACTACCGGCAGCTGGTACTCGCCCGTTGCCTGGCAACGCCGCCCGCCCCTGATGGTAAAGTGGCAGTCCTGCGGTGGTGGTGGTGGTGATTGGAATGGTTAATAGGACCGACTGCTGGGATTCATCATGGTTGTTGTTCTTATTTTTACGTTTATCATTCTGGTTTCTATCCAGCTTGGCATTTCCATTGGCTTAGGTCAGTTAGTTGAGATTAAAGGTGCAGTGTGTAGGATTTAGTGGCATCTAGCGGTGAGTTTACAGGTTGCAACCAACTGAATAACACACACACACACGCGCGCGCGCGCACACGCACACGCACACGCACACACACACACACACACACACACACACACACACACACACACTTCAAACGACATAGGAGAAGCTACAGTGGCCTGTAAGGTACTTCCAAACTGATGTCATTGGTCTAGCCTGGTCATAGAGTGTTTACCCGGTGAGGTTTATCTGTGGTCATAGAGCATTTACCTGGTGAGGTTTATCTGTGCGGTGAAAGAAATCACAGTAAATGTATCCCAGCAGCCCCTCTGTCTCGTGCACCACAGCCTTGGAAACACAGACACAACCAAATCAACTGCAATCATTGCAATACTTATTTCTCTCCAGTTGGTTTTGGAATACAAAAAAATGGTCAGTGAAATTGCCCATGTGTGGTACCAGTTTGCGGACGTCGTCGCTCCAGACCTCTCCTGCACTGGGGTGTTCAGACATGAGGGAGACGCCGAAGAGCTGAGAGAAGAGGTTGTTCAGGCCCTCCATGCATGCCCCCAGGGAGAAGTAGGGACTGTACAGACTGGGCTCAATGTTGAATCTGCAGCCAAACATGGAGACCAGAGTAAGAGGACCAGTAATAATGATAATACACTTTATTGTACAGCACTTTTCGTACAGAGAATGCAGCGCAAAGTACTTTAAAACTTAAGCAAAAATAAAACAAAAAACAAGAAAAATGATCAAAATAAATACACGAATAAACCACACAATCCAAGGGGCAAAACAAAGAAGATTATGCAAGTTAAAGAATAAATAATTTAAAGAAAAACAGATAAAAAAAGGTGTGTTTTCAGTCGTTGTTTAAAAACATCCAGTCAGGCTGTATATAGTTATTATTATCATTAGCTAAAGAATGAGCGGCTATTGCATGATCACTGGAAACATCATCTGCAATTTCAGTTTAAAATAAACTAGACAAGTGCAATAAAATAACTACTTTTAAATCAACTTCAAATGTAATAGCCAGCTAGAAAAATAAAATCCTCTGGGTAGTTTCCTTGTAAAGACAAGGGGATTCGTAAGTATGGACCAGATGAGTCAAAAAAACGACAAACCTTGACACCGTTGCTGTCTGTCTTTAAATCAAACATTATTGGAAACCTCTAGTGGTGTAAGGCCTGGGGGCCAAGTTCATACATCATCTAATCTTGGCGTTAATTAGAGGGCGATGGGAATGCTCCTTGGGTCTATGAACGTGACTCACTGTGAAGAGCGTTGGC